CCCCTGAATTGTAATTTCTTGCTCACTTTGCATATTACTTATTCTACATGTATAAATGTATGGACACTTGAGACCACGAGCAATTTCTCTGCTCCTTTTACCAGTTAAATGTTCCCATAAATTACTGAGCACCTTTACTATCATTCCTCTTTCCAAGTCAAGCATTTCCTCTGCAGTTTCTAGTATAACCACTCTATCTGGAGATTCCTCTCCTCCCCCTCCCTCTTTAGTATAAATCTTTCTTAATTGAATTAGCTGGTTCCCAGCCAGATGCATTTGTTCTGACTTTCTTGGCCTCTCTCCCTGGCCAGGGACTCTTTGTGTGTCCTCCAAAGACCTAGTCCTGTGATTCAGAGTGTTTCTCGTTTTTACTTCTGTAAAGACACTTCTCTTCCCTCGTCCCCGCAGTACAACTCGTGAAGAGGAGGTGGTGATATTATTATTATTATTATTATTATTATTAACTACAGGAACCTTTACACTGGTAAAAGATTTGGTGTAGAGATCTTTATTAATCTTCAACCACTTACTCCATGCACAGGTTTAATAATATTTCTTGCTTATAGTCCTCATACCCATCTTAGTATGTCTCTTAAGTTTATTTTTCTCTGCCCAGCCAATAAGTATGCACATCCCTCAAGGATTTATCCCAGACTTTCTTCTCTTCTTTCTACAATTTCATCTCTGTTTAGATTTTAACACTTTATAAACTAACACCTTCCTATTTTTTCTAGTCTTCTTACATCTTACTCCCCTGCATGTACTTTAATACCGTGACATTGGTTTCTGTGATGAATAAAACCCCAGAGAGATAGAATTTCTCGGTAATTAATAATCAATTTATAGATTAGGCTAGCTAATGATAAATTAGTGGTTAGTGGTTTTTCTTGGTAACCAAAAACACAATGGGATTCTAAATCACTTTAAATTGGATGTATGCCTTAAGACAGGGAACTCCCTAGCATATACGAAAGTGAGAAAGACTCCTACCTTACGTAGTATTTCTTTTTACAACATGTTCACAACTAAGTAAATAAAAGCTGTACAGGAATAAAGAAAAAGTAATTTTGTAGATTCATTGATGACTGGGGAACTATGAAAAGTCCTCTTAAGGAACTCCTCTCCTCTCCTTTTCTTTCCTTTCCTTTCTCCCTCTATCTACATAAAATACCCTCCTCTGTGGGTGCTCTGCCCAAAGGAATGTAAATATTGATCATTGAAACCTGGCAAGATATCTTGGGGTTTACTGGCTAGATTTTTCTCTTAAGGACCATGCCTTAAACCCAACTCACTCTAGCTCTTATTGATTAGTCAAAATAGATCCTAGTCCAAGCCCCACCCAGTGGTCATTGTTTGGGCCTTGATAGCTCAGAGGTGAATGTAAATAGCAATTGTTTTTGTTTTGGCCAGAAATTCTGAGGGTCTTCCCCTCCCAGATTGATTTTTTTTTTTTTTTTGACTAGGTAAAAGAGGCCATTCTTTGCCTCACTTCTCACCTAGCCTTAATCACTGAATGGGCATTGCCTCAAACTGAGATATGGGAAAGACCTTAGTTAAAAAGGCCAAGGGGCTATCTCCAGTTGTCTTGTTCTATATCTTGCCACTGGGCCCATCCTCCAGATGGCTGAGAAAGAGAAAGTCAGGCTGATGACTTTGCATAGATAGCCCTCCCTCACTTAAATGCAATTCACTTGCAAATCATAGCATCACCTTCCTGATGTATTGATCTTCCTGGAACACTAAGGACAAATAACAACAGATTTCCAGGATTCCTTCAAGTCCTAGCCAAAGCCCTACCTTCTATAAGAAAACCTTTCCCATCCAACTTAAACTTTGTGACTTATCTCTGAAATTACCTCCAATTTGTCTTGTATATAATTTATTTGTACACAGTTCTTTGCATGTTAGTTCCTACATTAGACAGACTATGAGCTCATTGGAAGCATACTCTCCCTCTCCATCTCTCTCTTTTTCTTTGTATCACCAGCACTTAGCACAATGTCTGGCACATTAGAGACACTGATGCTGGTTGACTGACAGACTTGCTGATCCCATCAACTCCTAAGACTTTAATGATCAATCTCTCTCTTAATGGTTGTCCACTCAGAGGCTAGACAAATTGATTTTCCTAAAGCACAGGTGTGATCACATCACTTTCCTACTCATGAAGTTCCATTGGCTCCTCACTGGTTCCAGTATATAAATACAACTCCTCTGGTTGACACTTAAATTCTTTGAAATTATAAGAGATTATAAAGATAGCAGGGAAAAGGGAAAGTTTTCCAAGTTTGGAACACAACCTATAGAAATGCAAGGAGATTCACTAGAGGGCTGATCTTAGGGAACAGAAAGGCCAGTTTGGCTAGAACTTAAAGTACTGGGAAGGGATGTAAGGTGAAATATTTGCTGGATAATTCCAAATATTCCCCCACACGTACTCTATAATCCACTCAAAATTGATTGCCTGTTGTTTGGTATATAGGGCATCCTGTATGCAGAAGTGAGTTATAAAACAGCTTGAACCAGGAGAATCAATTGTTACATTTTCACAGTGAGCATTTACATTTTGCTAATTAGTGTAGTTAAACATTACAAATAAGGGATAAATTCATTGTTCTATTGATTGTCTAGACTTCGGAAAGTGATGGAGAAAATGTTAATAATGCAAATGAAACTTAAAAATGTCTTAAGTCCTCTCCTCATCTCCAACTAGAAGTTCTTAAACATTTATCAGCACACCCTTGACTCATCTCTATGCCTTTGAGTAAACTATTCTTCCATTCCTGAAATACTCTCCTTCCTCACCTCTGCCTTCTGGTTGCCTTCAAATTTAAGCTCAAGTACTATCTCCTTCAAGATGACTTTTCTTCTTTCCCCAGTCATCGGTGTTCCTATGAAACTATTCTTGTACAGCTTTTATTTATTTATCTGTGAACATGTTGTAAAATAAAATAATAAGGTAAGCGTCTTTCTCGCTTTTATATACCTTAGTCCCCAACATTTTAATTGGTGGTGGGATTATCATCTCTCTCACTTTCCACATCCATATATCTCAAGTAGCAGCTGTTTGAGATTTGAGGAATTAACTCACACTAGAATAAAAATGACTGATAATGCAATGTTTTCCCACCCATAAGATCAGAGAATGTCACATGGCAGGTAAGTTCTGGGGCTGATACTTGATTCAAGGATTTCAGCCCAGTGCCCTTTTCATGTCATACTGACTCCTTTATCTTCACCTACCTGTGACCTGCAGTCCCAAATTCAATCTCCTGTTGAGAATAAGATATCATTTGTGGCAACATTTACCTGACTGTTTTTTGTAAGTCATCTTCTAGAATCTGAGCTGTTCTAATAGGATCAACAATTCCAACAAACTGTCTCATAAGAGTTTGTTTATTTGAAGACTTCAAGGATCTGTGATTTCATTAATGTAGTATTCACCCACCAGTAAGGATCGTAACTCCTCGATGTTTGAACCAACAGTCATCTTCAGTAGTTGTGCCAAAAATATCCATCCATCAGTTGCCACTAAGAGTGATAAACTCAATAGCCTAATAGCCAGTCATTCATTTACAGGAAATTAATGTCTAGTTTTCCAGCTTAGTAAGACTTGCTAGATCTTAGAATTTTCTAGAACATTAACAACAACACTTTCTTTTTCTTCTTCTTCTTCACCTCCCCTATATTTTTTTTTAATTCTTTCTTCCCTTTCCTTCATTTTTTTCTTCCTTCTTCCCTCTTCTCCCTTATTTTTCTTCCCTCTTCTTCTTTTTCCTCCTCCTTTTTCACCACTATGTCATCAAGATGTTTTATCTTGGGGCAGCTAGGTGGCACAGTGGATAGAGCACTGGCCCTAGAATCAAGAGGACCTGAATTCAAATCTGACCTCAGACACTTGACACTTATTAACTGTGTGACCCTGGGCAAGTCACTTAACCCCAATTGCCTCACCCCCCCAAAAAAAGATGTTTTATCTTTTTGAACAAATGATTTTATTTATTTTTACATAGATTTATAGTCTATCTTCCATTGGCCCCACAATTTATCCAAAACAATAGAAAAAGAAAAGTCTCATCTTAAAAATGCATAGTCAACTAAAACAAATTCCCACATTGGTAATGCCCCAAAATAATATCTCTGCATTTTAAGTTGATCACCTCTGTCAAGAGGTGGGTGACATTTTATCTTCAGTCTTTTGAGACTCAACAACTCACATTTCGATAACAACTTTAACGTTTGCATAGTACCTGCCACACAATAACACTATTGGGTAATGAGTGCAAGCATTATTATGCCCATTTTATAGACTGAGAAAATTAGAGGTCCTGAGAGATGATTAAGTGATTTGCCAAGGATCATATGGTTACTAAGTGTCCAAAGTGGGATTTGAACCTGTCTCCTGGCTCCACGTCCAGTGCTGTGTCCACTACGTTATGGGGCTACTAGGAGAAGACTTGAGAACATTTGGGGGGTAGTATGAGTCAATAGCTCTGAAATCAGAAAAACCAGTTTCAAGTCATACCTCTAACAATTTATTATACTGAGCAAATCATTTAACCTCCCTGGGTCTCAGTTCTTTCATTTGTAAAATAATGAAGAGTGGACTAGGTGAATTCTGAGATACCTTCGAGCTTTAGATCTGTGGCTATGGATATAATTCTTATTTTCAGGCCATGAGAAGGCATCTTAACAGAAAACTAAAATACACATTAGAATTCTCTTCTATGATGTGAACTCGCTAACATCAAAGACATTGGCCAGGAGAAACACAATGGTCCATATTTTTTCTTTCTCATACTCAAACCTACAATAATCTCCTGGGTTCCTTTTCTATCTACTTCCTCTTTGTCCCCCTCGGCTTCCCTATCCCCTTCAGATACACAGGCAAGCATAGATATCCATGCATGCTCATTTTGCTGTTTACACATGTGCATAAGTACACGCACACAATCACACATACACACACATCACACAAAACAGAAAATATCCACACTTACCCTCGCTGGAAGAGATCCACATTGTGGAATTTGTGTAGCTCTACAGAAAACTCAACCGTTCCCTGTACTTCAGACATGATCTTTTCGGGTCATCACCTGATGGGAGGGAAAATGACAAAAATGTTAAGTTCTTTGAATCATTTCAGCCAAAGAGAAAGGACAAATGATGGTGTGAAACCAAGTTGTGCTTAAATAACATATCAAACACACTTCTGTGGTGAATCCACTTAATAGAATCTAATACAAGCACATATTTTAATAATGGTTATTCTTTATATGGATATAATACTTTGTAATTCATTAAACGTTTTCATACCTCCCATCTCACTTGATGCTCAAGTAGCTCTAATGAGGAGGACAGAGCAGGGCGAGGATGTGTAGCTTCATTTTACAAGTTAGGAAACTGAGGCCCCCAAATAGTAAAGTGATTTTCCATTGATCACAAAGTGTTATTTTGGAGGGCCAAAGCTAGAAACTCCATCAGTCTCCATACTGCCAGCTTTGGTTCTTTGTGTATGTTTTGTGTTAATAATCCTTGTTTTATATGTATACTAACTTTTCTAAAAGTTTTATTCATGACTTCTGCTTTTAAACCAAGGGCATTTCCTCCACATTCTTTCTTCCAACTTAATTCTCACTTGTACAAAGAAAAACAGTCAAACAAAACCAAGATAAAGCAATAATATCTGAAAGCATATGCAGCGCTCCATACACACAGTCCTTGCCACAGAAGGAGGTATGTTTCATTATGTTTTCTTCAGAACTGACAATAGCCATTACGGTTAGAGCTTGGCTGCCTTTTAATGTTGTTTTCATTTATATCATTATAATTATTTTATCTCCTGTTCTGGTTCCTTCTCTCTACATCAATTCATACAAGTCTTTCCATATATTTCTCTGAATTCATATTCATTATTTCTTACATTACAACTATTTTCCATTATATTAATATGTAAAAAAATATTCAATTAATGAACAAGCTTTTATTAATCACCTACTTCGAGCAGGCACCATACTGTTGATTCAAAGATAAAAGTAAAACAGCCCCTGCCCGTCAAAGGCTTATAATATAAACAAGGGAAACAATATGCACATATATATATATATATTTATATATATGTACACACACACATATACACACACACAAAATAAATGTTACACAAATTTCAATTCCCTGTCTTTTGGAATTCTAAAAAAACATACCCATTAACTGTCATTCTATGAGGATTTTGTGGGTATCTAGAAGTTTAAATGTCATTTTAGAGAAACTGTTAATATTCATGGCTAAAAGAGTGGGATATTTTAGGAGTCTCAAAAAAGTATACACACAGTGATACACATACATACACATATATGTCCTTAAATTAAAAGATTATATATAGACGTAACATTAAATTAATATCTTTAACCTAGTAAAGCTTAAACTGAACTAAGATTTTTTTGGATACCCCATGTGTAAATGTACATGTAATTTTGTGTGTATTCTTATGTACGTATGTATGTGTGTATATATGTATGTGTATATATACATAAATATACTAATGGTGATATTGCATACCTATATGTACATTGTATATGTATACACACATATGTATATCTAAATATATACTCAGAAACACAAAAATAACTTGATCTTGACCAAACTGTTCTAATTATGGAATCCTCATTTGAACCCCAGCTTATTGCCCTTCCCCCTTCTAAATAGAGTGAGCAACTCTGATTCATTTTTAACTTGTGAATCACTGCCCCCTTGGTTTGTTGTTAGCTTGAATAGATCAAAGATCTCATCAATCAGGATGCCACTTTTACTGGTACAAATCACAGCACACCCATACTTTCTAAATTCTTGACCATGTTCAACCATAAAGATATCATTGAAAGTCTCTTTAATGTGTTCAAAGCCTTTCACTACTTTTTAGTGGTAGATAATGACACATCACTAAAGCTATCTATCTGTTTTCCCTCTCTTACTATATGCCTGGCCTACTTCCTTGTCAGATCAAACCTTTCCTAGATGGTACATTTAGGCCATTCCTTGGGTAAAAATAATCTTTAGTAATAGGCTACAGCCTATTTATGACTATTATGTTGCCCTTTGAGTCACCTATAATTTTGATTCTTGGGAGATTATAATGTTCCATGATTTGCAGCCATAGAGTGTTGCCAGAAGAACATCATTTTATAACACATCTAGTAAAATATTGAATCCATTCAAGCCAAAATCTCTGGGCAAATTGCAGTCCTCATACAAGCCAGTCAGCTATCTTGAGATTAAGACAATTTAATTCAATTGGCAACCTTTCTTTAGGACCTGCTGGAGACAAACTTTAGATAAGACACACTTGTTGACTTCATAGAGATCATAGATATGCAGAATTACATACCTCCACAGATAACCATAATACATAATTTGAGAGGTGACAAAGTACAACAGTAGAAAAAAAGTATTACTAAACAGGGAGATTAGGGATACATTTGAGTTGAGCTTAAAAAAAGAAGAATAGAAATTCATCAGGCTAAGAGAGGGAAAGAGAAAAACTTTGAGATAGATGGAGGCTATCTAATGTGAAATTCATTCAGCAGTCTTTTTGTAAGAGCCTTTTATGTGGCAATGCTTCAAAAGAGATTGGGAAAGGCTCCCCCTAGAAGGTGGGATTTTAGCTGGGTCTTCAAAGAAGTCAGGAAAGGCAAGAAGCTGAGATGAAGAATGGGAGGTAGCTAGTGAAAATGCCTGGAGTCATAAGATGGAGTGTCTTGTTTGAGAAACAGCAGGGAGGCCAGTATAAACTTTGAAAAGTACATATGTTGGTGGGGCTAGGGGGATTGGAGGGTTGGTGATGGTGGTGGTTCTTGTTCTCCAAGAGGACCAATGACATCTGGAAGGTGATGGCTTGACTTGAGCATGAATTGGATATGAGTGAGGTAGAACTGCATAAAGTCATCAGCCTCACTCTTTCCTCCAGAGTCATTGAAGTCTAGTGGCAAGACAAAGGTCAAGAGGACTGGCCATGGCCTAGGACACAGTGGGTGACCTTGGCCTTTTTTTTCTTATTTTTATTTTTTACCTTTTTTAAAAATTATAGACAAATACTAAAACTTAAATACATAATAAGAAAAGAAAAAGAAACAAATTTAAATATAAAAGAAAAAAAGAAAAAAACATGTTATGTGCACAGCAGAACATAGGAGAGAATTCAGAATATATAGCAATAACTTTTCATTTCTAGAAAGTCTATATATTAAATACTGCACATTATGTTGAAAGCTGTCCATCTTTTCTTTGCTTCCTTGTATGGTTTCTTTCACTCTCTACTGTACACTTTTTACTTTGTTCTTTTCCCCCCTTCTTTCCTCTACCCCTTACTCTGAGGCTACAATTAAGCATGGATATATTTATATATAGATATTGATATGTACATACACTTATACACATATACACATGTATACATGCATATATGTATACACATACTTTCCCTAAGAGATTCTGCTCCTAAATTTTTGTTTTTTGTTTGAGTTTATCTCTTATTTCCTATTTCTCCTAACTCCTGTACTTTACTTCTACCTGCTACCTTGCCCTCCTATTATTTAACCTACGTCCTCCCCTTCCAGGAATCCTCCCATTCCCCTAAATCTAAACACTCTTCTATATCCCGCTTTTGATCTATTCCTTTGCCCTCCCTTCTAAAGATCTCTCCTTTATCCTCTCATCCCATCCTATCCCCTTAGAGTTTTATTCCTTTCTAAATTTAAAAGACTTTTATACTCTTCTAGATATATATGTATTTTTCTCTCTTGAACCCATTCCCCATGAAAGTAAGTTTCCAAAACTAACAGCTGTCCTCCCCCATCTAATTCCTCTGGCTTGGTTTTTCCTCTTGTATCTCATTTGTATAAGATAATTACTCTTAGCTGTTCTTGAATGAATACTATTTGAAGTCATATCATATTCAGGTCTACCCCAATCTTCCTTATAAGCTACCTAATTACTAATAACAATCTTAGACATAGGTTTTACATTTTACACATATAAAAGGTAAACATTCTATCCTTATTGAGTCCCTTGTAATTAATCATTGGTATGTACCTTATATTTCTCTTGGCTCTTGTAAGTCAAATCTTCTATGGAGTTCAGGTCTTTTTTGTTTTGTTGTCGTTGTTGTTGTTGTTTGTTTGTTTTTTTTAACAAAGTCCTGAAAGTCTGACAATTCATTAAATATCCATTTTTTTTCCTTCAGAATTATGCTTAGCTTTGCTGGATATGATACTTTAGTCCAGAAACCCAATTCTTTTGCTCTTCAGTATATAGTGTTCCAAGACCTATGCTCTTTTAGTGTCACCACTGCTATGTCTTGTGTGATTCTAATTGTGGTACTGCCATTATGTAAATTGTTTTTTTCTTGTTGCTTATAATATTTTATCCTTGAGCTGGGGGTTTCCAAATTTGACCATAATATTCTTGTGAGTTTTCTTCATAGGATCTCTTTCAGGTGGTGTTCAGTGGATTTTTTAAATATCTACTTTTCCCTCTTGTTCTAATGCTTCAGAACAATTTTCTTTAATAATTTCTTGTATTATTGTATCAAAATTCTTTTTTTTTTGATCATAGCTTTTAGGTAGTCTAATTATTCATATCTTTTCTCTTCTTGATCTGTTCTCCAGATCAGTTGTTTTTTCTTATGAGATATTTCACATTGTCTTCTATTTTTTTCATGCTTTTTTTTTTGTATTTCTTCATCTCTTGTAACTTCACTGGCTTCACCTTGCCCAATTCTGATTTTCAAAGAGTTATTTTCTTCCTTAAGATTCTGGATCTCCTTTTCTAATTGGTTGACTTTCATTTCATACTCTTCTTGTTTTTTCTTGGATTACTTTTACTTTTCTTTTGAGTTTTTCCTCAATCTCTCTCATTTGATTTTTAAAGTCTTTTTTTTAAGTTCTTCAATGAATTCTTTTTGGGCAGGTGACAATTTGATATCATTCTTTGGGGCAAAAGAAGTTTTCTTTGCTTCAGTATCATCCTCTGAAGATTAACCCCAGTCTTCTCTATTCCCATAATAGCTCTCTATGGTTGGATTCT